TCCTTGTAATCGGTTCCCTCTTTCCAACCCACTCTCCCTGTACCCTCCCTGTATCGCCACTCACACCACTGGTCCTGTAGGGATCATTCACCCTAGATTCTCTGTAGTTCCAGTTCCTATCTGTACCAGTGTACATCCGACAGAAAATACTTAAAAGCAACACTGTATACATTTGTTCTCAGTATCCTTCTGCAAACAATCAATCACAAAATTTGGGGTTTGGCTTAGTTCTGATTTATTTTAAATAACAAGTAATTTCAATTTTCTAATTTCCTGACACACAGTAGATTTAAAAAAGTATAATATTTATAATCATAGCAATCTGGCATATACTTTAATAAGAGGGAAAAATCATCTTTTTATTTATTTTGTTACTTGATCCTTCTGATAGTGTTACTAATATTTCTCCATTTTTGCATCTAGCTCCCCTCCCCAGCCCAAACCTTTCTCTGACTTTAAAGGCAGAATATGTTCCAGAGAACCAGTAGTACCCTGTGAACACCTCAATCTAAAGAGGTTCCTGTTGAACTCTGTCTTGCAGTGAGAGCTCACAAGAAAATTGTAGAATTGAGACACCTCCTGGAAATTGCTGAGAGCAACTATAAACTCTTGGGAGGAATAACAGAAGAAGAGCTAAAGCAGAAGAAAGAAAAGCTGGAGTCTGAAAAGTAATGTCCTCACCATTTTAATGGGCTTGTTTTTAATTACTTCTCCTAAAACTACACGAGAATTTGTTGACTAGCAACTTTTTATTTCATTCTCACCAAAACACATTTGAAGGATTCCTGGTAATACAGTGGCTGTGTTCTTCGCTGCTGATTCAAAGGTTGGTGATGTGAAGCCACTTCAAGGCAGAAAAGTGTGGCAGTCTGCTTCCCTAAAGATTTGCCGCCTTGGAACCCCTGTGGGGTGGTTTTATGAGTTGGAATTGACTAAAAGTAATAGGTACAGGGTGTTACGTCCATCTGTTTCCTTGCTAAGTCTCCAGATGGAGAATTTAAGATTTTTTTTTAGACAATCACTACTTCAAACCCTTCCCCAGTACAGATAACATAGTCCTCAAACATCCCCACCAGACTGGACTGCCAGCTCATCAGTCTGAGATCCCCTCCCATGTTCACTGACATGTTCAGGAGAGAATGAATGTTCCTGTGTAGGGGCAGTAAGGAGTCATACATCTGCCCTCACTTTTCACCTCCTTGAACATTTCACACCTCTTCTTAACTAATTAAAGACTCCTAATATTTCCTACCCTGGTGGTGTAGTGGTTAGGAGTTGGGCTGTGATCTGCAAGGTCATCAGTTCAGAACCGCCACCAGCAACTTCTTGGGAGAAAGACTGGGCTTTCTATTGGAGTAAACAGTTACAACTTGGAAACTCATAGAGTGTTGCTATGAATCAAAATTGACTCAATGGCAGTGAGGTGTTTGTTTTGTTTTGTTTTGAGTGGGTGGGTAGGGGAGCATTTCCTAGGGTCGTCATGAGTCGGAATTGATTAGATGACAGCGAGTTTGGTTTTGGTGTGAATATTTCCTTCCTTCCCCTGCCTGTCTGTGTGCTTTGGAAGTAAACAGGGAAGGCATGAAAGGATACCAGTAGCTTAATCAAACTGTGGGCCTGTAATGAGCCTCAAGCATGCATGTTCTTCCCCAATCTTTGCTTTCTGACTGTGTCTTAGTTGTGAAGAGTTTTTGTTTGTGTGTCTCCACCCCTCACCCCTCCTTCCTCTGCCTTTCCTGCCTTCTCAATCAACCCTTAGTAAGACTGAGTACATGTTTTCAGACTTAGTCCCTAAGTTTGATACAGAGTAGTATGTTACCCTTCCATGGGTTCTTGAGTTTGAAAAAGAAACAAAGCCTTAGCACTGAAATACTCGTATCTCTTAGTTGGATTTTAGACATTAGGAAACTAAAGCAAAAAAAAAAAATTTTAATACATCAGGAGACCTTGGTGTCTTATCACATTGTTTAGGTAACTGTCTAATACCTGTAGATTGTTTAAAGTGTTTTGAGTTGTGGAATCTTTTCAGCATTGCCTCTACCTAAAGAGCCTAGCTGAAAGTTCTTAAGTTCCTTGTAGTATGGAAAAATACTTCACAGTGGAACACTTACATTTTCTAGAAAGACCCTTTTTGGAAACCTGTGTGCAGTGGAAACCACCAGAGAAGGAAAATGAAAATATTTTCCACAAAAATAAGTGCTAGAAAAGTGGTAAGATTGTCCCCTCTGGGGTAAGGTGGAAAACTTGTGAGACTTGCAGAAACAAAGTACAGTAGCCCCATAGAGTTCTGACTCTCACAGGTTTCACTGCATTGTATGTAATCTTCACAACTCTTTGAGGTATTGTTATTTCTCTCACTGAGTTAGTTAATTGTGCCAGCCTGGCCGATAATCACATGTGGTGCTGGTTGAAAGGTGGAGGGATAAATGGGTGGTGAAGCCTCGCCTTTCTAGTTCTCGGGTCTCTTGCTTTGTGATGGTCGCACCAGGGTGCAGCTGCCTTAGCAGTTCCCTGCTCCAGCTTGCAAGATTGACTTCATACAAGACATCCCCAAGGAGAAGCCACATGGACCTATCCCGATGCAGCCCTGGGTGCTGGAGCAGCCGTGTGGAGACCCCTGCTAGTGCTGAGATGCTTATTCGTTCACTGACTCAGCTTTCCTCCTGCAGTCGGCATCATTGCCTCTGTTTTGTGAGGTGGAAGACTTTGTGAACTGGTGTTGGGTTAATGGGTTAATGTTGGACTTGTGGGCTTGGGCAGCATTGGGTTGGGATGTTTTCATGATGCACCTTTTCTTTACATAAAATTCTCTTATACGTGAGTCGCCGTGGATTTGTTTCTCCAAAGTACCTAGACTAATACACTCACCATACAGATTAGGAATTCCAGATGTAATGTAGAGGCTAAATCACTTGTCTCAAGTTACAGTCATGAAAGGGATCAAGAAAGAATTTGGTTTGAGTCTGTATGACTCCAACTGATACTTAAGATTATGTAGGAGTTTAATAATCTGTCATGTAGCTACTATTGATGTAAAAGATTTTGTTTGTTTGAGATGAGCTTCTTTGACACTAAAGACTCTAAGTTCATTGCAATGGATTTCTGAACGAAAATATTTGTTTTGTTTTCTTAAGGATTGCTTGATCATTTATGCCAAAATGTACTTTCACTAGCTGAGAATGAATGCAGTGTTTCCTATAATTCCACCCAGAGTAAGCTTTAAATTTTCTCAGCATTTATTCTCCACTTACTTTTGAGTTCATTTAAAGAAGTTTACTCGTTAAGGACAAAATTGCTGATCCTAATTGTAGTTGAAAAGAAAAACTGGATAAGCACTGGTTTGAAGGATGCCCTTTAAAAAAAAAATCATTATATTGGGGCTCGTACAGCTGTTATCACATTTCATCCATCCATCTATTGTGTCAAGCACATTTGTACCTATATTGTCACCATCATTCTCAAAACATTTTCTTTCTACTTGAGCCCTTGATATCAGCTCCTCATTTTCCCCCCTCCCTCCCTCATGAACTCTTGATAATTTATATATATATATTTCTTGTCCTACACCGACCGCTATCTCCCCTCACCCACTTTTCTATTTCCCCCCTGGGAAGGGGTTATATGTTGATCATTGTGATTAGTTCCCCCTTCCTCCCCCAATTTCCCCCTTCCCCTCCTGGTATCGATACGCTCATTATTGGTCCTGAGGGGCTTATCTGTCCTGAGTTCCTTGTGTTTCCAGCTCTTCTTATCTGTACCCATGTACATGCTCTGGTTTAGCCAGATTTGTAAGGTAAAACTGGGGTCATGTAGTAGGGGGAGGAAGCATTATAGAACTAGAGGAAAGTTTTATGTTTCATCGGTGCTGTACTGCATCTGACTGGCTCTTCTCTTCCTGGTGACCCTTCTGTAAGGGGATGTCCTTTTGCTTTTGTTGTTATTCATTAATTAAGTCAAACTCACAATACAATAAAAAGAAGTCTGCATTTCTTTGCCGAGGGGAATGAGAACAATGATGTTCCTTCCACTGTTGCATTTAGAGGCTTTCACAGGTGAACTCTGACCCAGCCTCAGCTTTAACCCACTCACTTCCTTAACTGAGCTACTGCGGTAGTACACTTAGATTGCCCTCAACCTCAGTCCAGCATGTTCTGTGAATTCTAGTCCCCTCATCTCCAGCTATACAAAAGAAAACAGACAGACAGACCGACCCAAGGACAAACTAAATAATAAGACAAAACCCTAGTTGAAGCTACATTTTTTTAAAAAATCAATTTATTGGGGCTCACACAATTCATCACAATACATAGATCAATTGTGTAAAGCACATCTATACATTTGTTGCCCTCATTATTCCCAAAATTCGCTTGCCTCTTGG